GCGGTGGCGGCGGCGGCGGTGGTTGCGACGACGGCCGGGTGAGGAATGTCTGGCCAGCGGAGGAGCGTGTCCATGGTTTTTGCTGGATTCGCCGGGCCGGACTGGACGGAAGAAAAGAGGGCGGCGGACTTTGCTAACAGGCCTCGATTTTTGTTAAGAAAAAGAAAACCAAGATAAAAAGAGAGAGTAAGGGGAAAAGGCAAAAACAAAGAGCCAAGAGGCTGTGTCCGAGGAGCCAGAGATGGTAAAGTCGAGGCCTGGAATGAAGGTGTTGAACGAGCTGAAGCTGCGCCCTGCCTTGGTCATATGACGCCTGCACTTGCTTGTGCATGACTGACCAGTGTGTACAGTGGGTTGTATCAATTGATCGGTAGCGTCGGGTCTCGGGAGCCATGGAGCTCCGTGGGCGGGTCACCACTTGGACGTCGGCGTGGACGGCAGGCATATGGGCTAGAGGGGCGATTCTACTTGTCGGTTTTGAATTGTTCCAAAGTGTGTGGCTTGGCTTGCTCATATGGCGTAACTTGTCAAAAATCATGTCTAGAATATGTGTTGCTTTGTGTATGTATGCGGCCGCGGCAAGGGCCACGGGCCACGGCGGACGGTGGCCGGTTTCACTTTTCCATTTTCATGTTATTGAGTTGAGAAATTCTGATGGGTATCTTTGTATTTTATCCATCGTAGGCGGATTGGCATTGCAACGCCGAATCGTCGTGTATCAACAGCACTGTATCCTTTGGTACATCCCCCGTCGACGTCAACCTGTCTTGTCCGCGCCGAGTTAGCCCAAGCCAACTGCCCACGCCGCATTCCCGAGCTGTTTTATGAGTTGTACCAAGTTCTCAACTATGGGAGGTAGTCCCTCTTGCGCCTGCGTAAAGTTCATTCGCAGTATATCCTGAGCCATGTCCATGCAGGCTCGGGGGCCGTGCAGTGCCGCCTCCCTTGTTGTTCCACGAATCGTGGGACCCTTGACCATTGGCCGGCCTTGCTCGAAGCCGATAAATCGCTGAATCGCCATCGAGTCCGCACCATCCAAGTATATTGGCTCTGTGCCAATTTGTGACGCCACATACTGTCGTCGGTTTGCCCTAGTCACCACGCCATATGTCCACAGTGTTATTGCAGCGTGGTGTACTGCTACCGCATAAAAGTCCTTCAAGTGACCTGGCGGGAAAAGCTTGGCGTGTCGAAAAACCTGCGACGCACACCAAGCCGCCGAGCGGGCTTCAGAACTCGTGATCCATTGCTGCAATATCGGGTAGACGCGCCGTGCCTGGTCCTCGCCCTCCTTGCCCAAGAACAACTGCAGGTCGTCAAGAGACACATGCAGATTCATCATTAGAAGATAGAGGAGTAAGTGCTCTCGCGCTGACATGCCTTGCCAACCAGCCGCAATGAGATGAAAACTTTGGAGGTCCTTGACTAGCTCTTGGTGGCGAGAGCTCAGTAGCAAGTTGGGGTTGCCTCCTAGGCTGTTCGCATACGACCGCGACTTGTGAACCGAACTGAGTTGTCGATACTCGAGAATCAGCGCCCAGAATCCGTGAAGAAAGATCGAAACCGAGAATTGGACGTCCAGGCGCGCGTGATTTGCCGTCAACAGGTGGACGTCGTGGAATAGGTCGCCCACAGACGGTGGTCGCTTAGAAAGACCCGCGTTCCTCTCCAGGTACCGCGCCTTCCATTCCTGTGCTGTTTTTGCCAACCACAACTCTCTAGCTTCGGGCAATGGCAAGGTCAACTCTGAATACGACACGCATGGGTTTGTCAATGTCGTCATCGATGTCTGAGCCTCTCGAAGATAACAATGGAAGACTAGTCTACGCCACATATTAGCCAGCTGTCTCCATGCCAAGAAATAGACAGAACGGTGCGCACCGTTTCCATTGTTCTCTCTCAATCCACAGCTTCCACTTTTCCTCGAGAACTTCACCTTCATCTGATGGATCGACATTGATGATGGGATACTTTGCTCGTTGGAATTTGCCCCGATATCGCATCATCTAGTCTCGTCGTTAGAGTTACTTTTGTGGTTTGAGCTACATGCGTGACAGTGCGTACCGTGACAGGAATGACAAGATGGCATTCTGCGATCTCCATCCTACGGCGATTGCCACTCCAAAGACCGAGGTCTTGGACCAAGATAAGTGATTGAACTAAGCCTAACCGCTGGATTGCCGTATTGTTTTCCTCGAACTGTTCATACGTCAGCATTCATCTTGAATCATCTCAAAGGATCCGGAAATGTTCATACCCGTGCGGGGATTGTGATGCCTGTTTACGACGTCAGCCCAGAGCTTGAATATCTTGGGTAAACATGTCACTACTTACGAACCGCTTCCATCACTGCGAAACCAAATTTGCGCAACGCTGGCACCGGGGTCAAGGAGCCTCCATGAGCGGCAGCCATGGCGATCCACTCTGGCCACTGATCCTTGAGTTTGAACGTAGGGAAATGAATCCATGAGTCTACTTGGCAAGCTTGAGCAGCAAGAAACATATGCGTCAGAGTATCCAACACCTCCACGGTGGGGAAAGATGCGGCAACTTGGTTAGCCACGGAGGTTTGGCGGCACTGGGAGAGGAGAATGGCCATAACACGGTCCCGCCCCGATTGTTCCAGTTTCTCAACAACGACTCTTTCCAAACAATCTCGGCTATGTTGAAATTGGGAGCTTGATGTATCTTGGGTCGATACAGCAAAGAAGCTCTGTTCCTTATACCCGTTGTCATTGGAATTTGGATCCCAACGCCATGGCGATTCGGTCCAAACTTTGACCAGGCTCTTTCGCATCTGGTTTATCTCGGCCGAATTTTCAGGGCGGGGGATGGGATCCTGGGCCGGCATTGTGCCTTCAGTCATGCCATCCATGTTCCATTGGTCCAGCATGCCGAAATCCAGGTCCGTCAGTTCAAGGCTGGCATTGTCGCAGAAATCAAGAACGGGCATTCCTTGCGGGGTCGTCATCTTGTTTGGATCAAATGGCTGCTCATACAACACATCTCGAAGAAAATCAAAGAATGGCGAGTTGTTGAAATCCATGACTCCTGTCGGAGGTTCATATACTGGCGGTGCAAGTGTTTCATTGCTGGCTAAAGGGTAGTTGTCAGCACATGCTGCTTGTCAATCACATCTGAGTGAGTCCTTGTTCATGTACATACCTTGGTCCATGAGAGTTTCTGGTGTGGGCCATTGGCTCTCCCCGCTCTCCTCGAGTTTAAATGTCGTCGTTTGTGAGTAAGGGCTGGTCTTGCTGCTAGCCTCAGGGCCACTAGGTGCTGAATTGGCATGGCTGTGCGCGGCTGGTGAAGAAGAGTTGCCTGACTCTGTGCTGTAGGCGGCTACAGGTGCTGCTGCTATAGCTGTGGCGGAATGGTTAAAATCATGGGCAGCTGTGGCATGTTTTTTTGGTGGGATATGGTGATGAGGGTTGGACGAGGGACCGGCTTCGGAGAAGATGCAAGTCAACTTGCGATTCACGCAACGCCTGCATGGCTTGGAATCGTCACACTTGACTCTGGCCACGGCGCATGGTCGACACGCCTGAGAGACACGACCCGTTGCCGGAGACGAGTTTATTCGCCGTCGTTTCTGCGGCGAGTCATTCTCGTGATTCGCAACATGGCGGCGCAGAAGATCCTTTCGAGCAAAGGATTTTTGGCAGATTTCGCAAGTAAAGCGTCGGCCCAGGGTATGGGTTTGGACGTGTCTAACCAAATGCTCTGGCCGAGAGTAGGAGCGTCCACAATCCCGACAGGAATACAATTTGTTGTCTCCATGATTCTGACGTGATGGAGTAGCAGAAGTAGAGCCCTCAACTGGTAGCGCTGTCGTGGTTGTCGTCGTGGTCGCGGGCGAGGCCGAGGATGGAGCAGACTCTCCCGCATTGTGGTACCGCTGTGATTCAGTCGACCCTGGGACTGTGGCTAGAGAACCGTGACCTATTCCGAAAGATTGCCACGAGCCTGAAGCTCCAGTACGCGGCGGCGACACAGCAACATTAGGCCGAGATTGAGGCTGAGGTTGATCTTGATATGGCTGAGGAACATCCGACACTGACGAAAGTGGTCGTGGGGGATCAAGAATCTGCGATAATGACGGACCGGTCATGGCGCGACCAGAAGAGCGGCCTCAAACCCCGATCTCGAGAATTGGAAATCTCTGGGAGATACTCCGCACACAATGCCGCAATCTCACGAGGAGCTCGCGAGACCGATAGAATTCATGGAGCGCATGAGCGTGCAGATAGCTGTATGCAGCACTCAAAGCAGTATCTCGAGTCTGGTGTGTATTGAGAAAAGTCAAGATACCAGGACCTGGTAGTCTTGGCAATTGTCCAAAGGAGTTGCAGTAAAGGAGAAGGCGAGTAGGTAGGGGCCGCACTGATGGCACAGAAGAATGCAGCACTCCAATGTTGTCTCAAGATGGCAGCTAGATTGCAGCCAGATTGATTGCCGGACACTTGCGCCCACACACCTTTTTCGAACCAACCCACACCAAGACGCCGCAAGGAGCAGAGTTCGGAGTATCCCGTACTGCAATGAGAACTCGGGACGGGTCACTCGGGTTCTGGGGTGGAATCAAGGTTACAGGTTCCACGTGTTGGGAGGATTCGGTGGGTGTCTGGTAGCCCATCTGCACTGGGCATAACACTTGCGTAATGACAAGCGATGACGACGGTGATGATGACGATTGATGGGTCTCAAAAAGATGACCAGTCGATGGTCCGTGTCCACGGCCTGGCGTTCTGGCGCTGGGGTTGGAGGCCAGGGGTGGGGCCCTCGTCTCGAAAGGTCAAGTAGCGAGACGCTAAGTGGGCAGGCCAACACTCCGAGGATATTAATTCAATGTTCCCTCCCGACTGTTCAATGTTGACATCAATTGACCGATGGACACCAAGAGTACGCTAACCCGCAGCCTTCACATCGACTCACCATCAAGTGTCTGGCTCAGTTGGCCTGAGTCGAACAGAGTCTGAAACTAGCGGCCATAAAACACATCTCGCGATTCATTCGCCCGCACGGGAGCCGACGAGGACCATACCCACGTTCATGTTCAAGTCGAGTGTTGCCTGTCCATCAGGGGCTTGGGGCAGCCGGTCTCCTCCTCCCAGGATTGGGTCAAGTGTGAGCAATTATCATTGTTTCTTGAACATCTGCTTATCGGCTGCAGATCGAGTCCGGAGTGCGATATTGGGCTTGAAGAACAATAACATTCCTTCCACACACGCTGCCCCCGTTTGGATTTGACGTCTCGCTGCTTGTGACACACAACTCAAGAAGACGTGAGCTCCAGCAGAGTGAGTCTATGGAAATAACTACATAGCCTGGCTGTTTCACTTTGACCACCATCTTGGCGATATTGTGGCGGACTATCTTACCAAACGAAACGGGGGAATCCGCGAACCCGAGATGCGACTCCCAGCTGTGACATTGTCTGTCTTGACATCCCCGCTGGCGCTTGTCCTGTACGGAGTCGGTATCGAACTCAAGCTGTATTGGATATGCCCGACGATAGGGCTAGGTCTTTGTGGGTAGATGCTCTGCTAGGATGGCTCGAGGAGAATGACGGCTAATCAAATTTACCAGTGAACTTTTCCATCACTCAAGCCACAAATATTTGCCTGGTGTACGTCATAAGACACATATCGACCAGTTGCAGGCGAAGTCACCCTGACTGTAATGGGGTTCAAGTATAAGTGTTTATTTGGAGACCAACTTGACGCATGGATGGGAAGGTTAACGGTGTACAGCTCTCTATGGCTTCTTGTTGTCATTTGAGACCAATCCTTGGATCAACGTGAGCGGCTACCAAAACGCCTATGGGGCCATGGTCGTATTTCCGCAGGCGTCCTCATCTTGTGGATTCCTTTATACCTGTGGGGCAAGAAGATCAGACATGCGACTTGGAAGTGGATGGTGTTGTCGTTTATACATTGGAATGACGATCGTGAGGTTGGAGAATAGCCGGAAATTTGTGGCTTCAATACATATTGTGCAGACTTGATAAAAGTTGCAGCAGGCGTTCAGACGAATGAGTAGTACGTACTTGTTGCGTACCCAAAGAAATTGTTAGCGATGCGGGGCCCCGCACTTTGTTTAATATTGCGAGGAGACTTGACGGCTGAATACGTATTTCCGACTGCGGGGTGGATAAGTTATGGAGCAAGCCGTCGAAACAGGGGGCGTCGGTGCGGGCATCTGTGCCGACAACAGTCCTCCTCTCCTCGCTTCAATCTCGACTCTCGGGACTATCACGTATCTCTGAGAGCCCCCGGCATGGTACAAGATAGTAGAGCCACCGCCAAGGCGTGCGATGCCTGTCGGCGGCGCAAGCTGGGGGTATGTCGAACATGGTGCTCTCCCACATTGGCAAGACGAGAACGCTGACAAATTGGACAAGTGTCGACGGAATATTTCAGAGTCCCTGTCCGGTTCTAGGTGCATAAGATGTGTGCATACAGGGCTGTAGCGTACATATAATGATGAGCGATGACGAAGAGGGCCAAATCGTGGAGGTGAGTAGCTACAACGGCCAATGTCCATACAGCCTCATCCAGGGACGCACACGACGCGGCAGCCGACTGAGAGAACTTCGGGCCTCCCAAGCCATTCACTCTGGAGAAAAGCCCTTTCTGCCCACCTCATCACGCCCCAGCCCTCCGGTAATCACGGGTCAGGAAGAAGAGATGTGTGAGGCTAGTGGACGTCGAGACCAGTCCACTGACTCTGTGCCGTACGAGTTCTCGGGGGATTAGCTCGACAAGGTTGACCTCGGGGGAGCAGACGGCGCTGATTCTATACCCCATGATTTTGGTCTGGACCAACGACGTTTGTCACATCGGGTACTCTCCCTTTTGACGTCGAGCTGGCCGCCCCTGTCTCTGCACCTAATGAGTCCGAACCTAGTGTCACTTCTGCTGCAATCCCACGCGGAAATAGTGTCGATTTTTTAACAAGACGCCATTGTTGCTCAGGTATGACAATGCCTTTCCGCAGTATACCAGCGCTATCCGCTGTGGCATCTGGACACACTTGTCAGCAAGGTTAAACACGAGAAATATGCTACCGATAGCGGGTTCCGTTCTACACTGCCTCGCGATATATCTCCTCGACGAGTCATCCCTATTCCCGCAAAAACCCACATCATGGTTCAGCTCGCCTTTTACGAACAGAAGAGCTTGAATCGATGCCCGCTCACTGCAACAGCAACCACTTTGCTGATTGCCCATCCACCGCGTCCGTCACTGTATCATTGCTCTTGTTTGCTGCGCACAGTGTTTCTGATCGACATAACCTGGCATTCTACGATCTTAATGAAGCGGCGGGGCTACTTTGCCTAGACGACATCGACGCCCTCGACTCTCTCGACAGAGCATTGTACAGACGCCTAGAAGCCATCTTGTTTGTCACAGAGTCTGCATCAATGCCGGTCTACGGGAAGCCATGAAAGAACCGACTGATTCCCCGTTCTGAGAACTTGGGCATCCTCGAATCCTCAATGCGGTAGTACACGGAGCAACGCCGGCCAACTTGCGCCCTGCCGGCAGCCCTCTCCGATATCCACCTCGGCTCTCTGGACAACAAAGCCGTGAACTTGCTACACGCCCTCGTATGCCTGTACGACGCTGTGACAGTCCATGAAATCTCCAGGGTATCCGTCCCCAGTCCCGCCGTGTCCGAAATCATCGAGCAAGGTGTCCTCGGGAGCTCACCTCTCCGAGCAGCTGACAAGACGTCTCGCCAGCGGAGGAAGAGGCCTTGTCGGCTCGCAAGTCCAAGTGGCCCTCTCAGTCTACTCCCGGGGCGGCGTACACGCTCCAGATCATGGGACTCACGTCGCTTCAGTATAGTAGGGCAATACGTTCGGGGGAGTGTAGACTCGCGGGGCACGGGAAGTTGGCGAGACTCGAGGCCACCATTCACGATATATTTTCGAATCTGGGCCTCCTCGCGAGTTGTTAAAGTGTTAGCGTAGACTTTGATTCGAACGGTGTGTAAGACGGATTATGAGGGCTTCTCTGCGCCGGGCTAAGTTTGGTGCAGCTGTGTGTCGAGACTGTCTCTAGGCAGCTTACGTTTGGGGAGCAGGATGCGCTCGTGATTGATGAAGGCAGTGACTGCCTTGTGTGATTTTTTGCGCTTGATATAAAGCAGAGGTTCTGGTTGTTTGTGGTTACAGACCTCGACCTCTCTTACATTTGCCAAACAAGAGGTGTACCCGTGTTAACGAGGCCCCTAATAGCTAGCTAGGCATCCATGCAAACGGCTAGCTTTGCCAAACAAAGACTCATATAGTGGTTTTCAATCAACTGCACTTGTGCGAAGCACTACTTTGTTTCCTGAGTCATTGACAACAGGTATTGGAACTGCACAACGCATCTGCCCGATACACAGTGAAAAGAGTTTCATTTTTCATTGAAGAGATAGCCAAGTTCTCAATTCATTTAGAAACCATGGTTAAAATAAACTACAGCTAGTTCAAAGCATAGTCTAGAATCCTAGCCTGGCTCCTGAAAAACTGCCGAGCAGCATGCGTTGTCGGCGGAAACAACAATCCGTGTTAACCTACACCGAACTTGTTGCTACTCGAGTCATCGGCCTTGAGTGTCATCGGGTACAGCTGCGGACGACATGTTGCCGGCACGACTAGTTTGAGGTGGCGGATGCGTGATTCTTTGTGCTCTTCCGCATCGCGAAGTGCCACTGCGGCGGCGAGGCTACCTCCTGCAGAGCAACCCCATATCGCGATTCGCGCCGTGTCAATGTTATACTCTTATGCGCGGTCGAGGGTCCACTAGACGGCCTGATGGCAGTCGTCGAGGGGGAGTGGGAGTTTGTGTTCAAGGGAGAGGCGGTAGTCCACGTTTATGACAATGGCTCTGAGTTCCGAAGCGAAGAATATGGCTAGGTCTGTTTCAAGGCATTATTAGCATGGAACTCTACGTTCGAGATTAGCCCACTTACCTTCATCTACTTCAGGATAGCGATGAATCCAACCTTCACCATGATACATGATCAGCGCAGGCCTACTAGGCACGGACTGCTTGTCTTCTACGGCGGGAACATACACCCTCACTCTGAAAGTGGCATCAGATCCATAGGTCATGGACACGTTCTTGATGGCAACTTCTGCAAGGGCCCGTCTGCGGCAATCCGCTGGCGTGCCCTGGGGGGGACGCCATAACCACTTCACCTACCCATTTCCTGGCAATTTTCTCGTCAAATGGGTCTGCGAGGGCGGTGTTTGCAATACGGAGACTTGAAGACGCCCTGGTCATGTTGGTGACTTATCTATGGAATGGAACTTGTGGTAGACTCGGGTTGGGGTTACCTGTATGCAATGTTGGTCTACGGCGTCAATGAAGGATGACCTTGTCCTCTTGCAGACCCATTTTCTCAGCCTCCGTTAATCTAGCTATGGACTCGCGGAGATCTGCCTCTAGGCTCGGGTTCAGGGGATCTGACGTAGCCACGGCAGCCATCGTGGTTCGGTTGGAGTATAATAAAAATGCTCTAATCATAAAGAGGCGCGCTACAAAGTGAAGGATGCAAAGACAAAAGACCGCAGAAAATTAAAAGTGCAATAACAGAAGTCCATCCACATAAATACGTATAAGCCAAATGTCGGGGATGCTGACCTCGACAGTCGACGTTATCTGGATAACTCCCCACGATGTGGCGCCGCCACGCGGAGTCGGCGTCTTGCTCGGGAGCAAGCTCGGGGAAACTTGGTTGACTCGTTCCTCGGCCAAACAACCCAGGGCATGGGGTAGCAGCATGGCGATTGCAACTATTGATTTTGTCAATGGCTCTGTTTCATTTGGGCCGTGGCTGATGACTTGCGTTTGTCATGTTTAGCTAGTGGTCTGCTGTTGCTGCGTTTCCACACTGGTTTATGGTGTAGTTGCTTGCTTCAACAAACATCTTCCTGCAAGTTGACGTTCTTATACTGTAGACATGGACACAGTCAAGTCGAAGGAAGTAGCGACTTCGCATGTCGATGATGCCTGTGTTGCTAAACAGTCTATAGTGATGGATGAAAACGACCGCTGGTGGAACTGGCGCGTTATTGCGTATCGTCAGTACATCCGTCCATGCAGTCCGATTTTGATCATCAGTCATTCACTTGCTTCGTGCTTCGAGACGTTATTGTCGGTTTAGCCATGGGGCTATTCGGTTACGATAATGCCTCCGCCTCGCCTCGCCTCTCGTGTCGCTGCCTTTATTTGTGGAGAGATATCAAGCCCCTGGTTTCCAGGGCGTTCTCGTGTTTTCGGTGAGACTGAGCAGGTCAAATACAGGAAATGGGAACTTGATGCTGACCGGGGGGGGATATGGGGTAGAAACTTGAGCCTCATCATCTGTATACCCCTGGTTGGAGCGGCCTGCGGTGCCTTTGCAGCCATCCCTGTACAAAACTATCTTGGCCGGAAGAGGGCGTATATATTCGCACATTCCCTCCTTTGCATCCCAGGTTCGATAATGCAGGTGGTGGCTACAAACTTAGGGGCCCCTGTCGTTGGATGTTTTGCAAACTGTATGCAACCATAACTCCAGTAACTCCCACAACTCGTCTTCTCTTCACTACCAAGTTCTTGTACGTCTGAAGTCACTACCGAGTTCTTGTTAGTCTTCAGACGAACAAGAACTTGGTGTCGCCACAGTCGTCGCATGGGCCACGGAAAACTTTACGGACCAGTAGCAGTACAGGATCCCGCTCCTCATCCAAGCTGTTTTCCCTGCCACGCTCGCCCTGCTGTCTCTTTTGCCGACAGAGTCTCCTGTCTGGCTGCTCGCCAAGGGGAGACATCATGATGCGCGAAGGAGCCTGTTTCTGCTCCGTGAAGGCAACGCCGCTCTCATTGAGAAAGAACTTGCCCTGGCGACTGCTGCTCAGTCGCATTCCGAGCACGTTAATGTGAATGCTTGGGATATTCTGAAACCAGCGAATCCAGAGAGAACAATTTCTGCGTCTGCGCCGCTGTATCTAAGTGAGATCGGCGGCCAGATTCTAGTTTTGACGTATTCAACGGTTATTCTGGTGCAGAGCGGTGTAGCTGATCTATTCAAGATCACAATCATCATCTTTTTGCTGCAGTTTCTGGGAACGCTCATTGGACAATTTTTACTTGACAAGATTGGGCGGCGGCCGGTTGCCTTGACGGGCTTTGTGGTTTTATTTGCGATTGACATTGTGTGCGGTGCGCTGGCCTGCGTTGGGCTGGCAACTCAGTCGCAGATAATCGGGTTGGCCGCGCTATGTATTATCTTCAGTTTCATCAACGCCACTTGCCTTCAGTCGATGTAAGTGGTGTGCACACGAGTGTACATGGGCGGTATATACGAACTGACGAACCGATAAAAGCGCGTATGTCTTACCAACTGAAATTCCGACATCACGACTTCGTGAGTCGACCATCTTGGACCACGTTTTGGAGCTACACCACGACTATTATTAGCACTTGTGCTATTCCTCAGAACACCAACGCCGATGCGTAAGTTTGTCGTTCCCCCAAATCTGACATGCGTCAGTTGGCTGACAGGGTCCGTATAATAAGAGCCAACCTGGGAGCAAAGGCTTTCCTCATCTTCGGAGGCTGCATGTTGATAACGTTGGTTTGGTCGTACTTTTACTTGTAAGTTTACGGCTAAACTGAAGCGAGAGGTGGTCCCAAGTCCTAACCTTTTCGTAGGCCCGAAACATCAATCCGGACTCTTGCGGAGGTCGACGAGTTGTGTGCTGAAAGAATTCCGAAGCGACACTGGAAAGGTTAGTGGTTTACAGAATAGTGCCAATCTTGTTATACACTTGAGCATACTAATCGTTAGCAGGGTAAAAATCTACTGCAAATGAGATTGATATTGATAATGGGAATGCGGACCGTTAGAGATTTCATGTTGGAAGCAAGAAAGAAGATGGAGGGGAACAAAGTAGAGTCTCCACATGGCTGCAGCGCAATGCCATGCGGCGGAAGCTAGCGGACACTATTGGAGCCTGTGGATCCACATGCAGCTACACCAGACACTACTCCGTACTAGTGCAGCGTTCACTCTAATCATGCTGCAACTAAATAGTTACGGCGTAATAACTAGTAGTAAGTGATAAAGCACAATAAACGCAGGGAGGGCTGGGGTTGGGACGAGCACTTTAGGAGCACCTCAAAATTACTGTCTGGCGTCTGGTGGCAGGGGCATAAGACCAGACCAACCACTTGACCGTGAATCCGTGACATCGGTCCACGACTCCGGCTTATGACAGGCCACCAGTGCTGCACACTGACGCAAGCGTGATCGCGTGCCAAAGCTTCCCCTCTCCAATGTGTGATATCTGCAATCATCTGCGAACGGAGCTCGAGCGTCTTTGCTTGCTGGCCGTGGCCTGATGGCCCAAGACACTGACTGCTGTGGCTGAGTTGATGCCCATTTTTTTTTTTTCCAAAAGAAAAATTAAAAAAACTGGTCCCGGGGTTTGGAAACAGGACGAACCCATTCGGGCGCTCAGCGGCGCCTTCAAAGCGTCGTGTGTTGGTTCGAGTGGCTCACCTAAGCTCAGGCCCTCCGTGCCGACGACAACGCAGCCCGAAACCTCGTCGTGGCGACCTACACATCTCGCGTCGTTGCATAATTTCGAGACAGAGTCTTGGGGCTCGATCTTTTCTTCCTTCTCCCTTCATTTCCCCCTCTTTCTTTTTTTGCCTGCGCAGCACAGTTACTCCACAACCCAAGTTGGAAGACGGCCTCATGTTCCAACATGTCGAGTCCTCGAGGCGGGTCAAGCCCCGTCCATGATGACCATCATCCAAGGCATCATACCAGCTCCCCCCGACCGGAATCTACAGTTTCATATGCAAGCGGTGGCTCACAACACTGTCATTGGAAAACAGCAGAGTTCCATGATCAAGAATGTTCCCGGTACTTTGACTGCCCTTCCCACGTAGTTGAACGAGAGCTCTCCGATTCAGATCATGTAGAGCAGAGTCGGCGAGCAGATAGTCCAGAAGCAGGACCGGGCGCCGGCATACAGATCAACGACACTGAAGATGCACCTCGACGTCCCCCGACCGATGACGAAAGCAATACACAACCTGAGTCCGGCCACTCGCATGTGCAGACACAGACTGCTTTAGAGTCTGAAACATCTGCATCCCACCGCCAGTCAGCCATACAATCAGCCTCACACAATACCACCCAGTCCGCCGACGAGCATCAAAATGAGCCCATGGTGGTTCTTCCTATTCGATCGTCTTCTATACTTACTCCATCCACATCCCAAAGTCAAGAACCTCCTGTCCGGGAAGAAGCAGCAAGAGCACATGTGCATAACATGCCAAATCCAAGGGTTAACTGGACAGACCTCGAGCCTCGTTATCGAGGCGCATATCTGCAACCGGCTCACGAAAGCGAACACCAGACCATGGAGTCTTTGCCTCGTACAATGGTACACGCGGGGGACATGCACCATCCCCCTTCTTCGAACAGACGGCGCGAATCTGAGGGCAGACGGGCATCGCAGGATCATCGAGTGAATCGACCTAGAGGCGACGACAGCGTCACACCCGAGTTTGTGCTCCCTAGGTGGCAGCCAGACGCGGAAGTTACCTACTGTCCTATTTGTCATACCCAGTTTAGTTTCTTTGTTCGCAAGCACCACTGCAGGTACGCCATCATATTTCCCAGGCTCCGACGGCGAGTGTGTAAGCTAATACAGATTCAAAGAAAATGCGGCCGAGTCGTGTGCGCCACGTGCTCCCCGCACAGGATTATCATACCGCATCAGTACATTGTGAGGCAGCCGGGATCCGATATTTCGATGCCCCCTAGCTTGCTTGTCGACGCTATGGGGGCTGGCTATCTTGACGTGAATGGGTTATCAGGAGGCGAGCGCGTACGGCTCTGTAATCCATGTGTACCAGACCCCAACACAGCACCACCTGAGAGTCCGACACCGTCTATTGGGTCTCCGCGATCACCACATCAAAGATCACGTAGCAGTTTCGGAGCTTCACACGGCGCTGCACATCCATCAAACAGATATGGGACTGTTCTCACGGGAGGAGACAGCCGCGATCCCCTGCAGTACCACTATGCCAGAGCCAGGAGCATCACCATGGTATGTTTTGTTTTCCTCCACCTTTATAACACGACGAGGCGGATGGCCTTGACTAACAGTAGTGTGCACATAGAACCCACCCGTCCAGAATTCACCTAATCTCGCCCCATCCAGCCATCGTATGAGCGCGCCGCATGTCCATCCATCCCATCTAGAGCGCTTCTTAGTCGCCGGCTCGTCCAGCATACACCCATCCTCCTCACGCCACAGGTACAGTTCATACGGCTACGGAGAAATCTCATCATCATCTCGACAACGCGCCCTACCGCTCCCTCCTCAAATTGCTGAGGAGGACGAATGCCCCGTGTGTCACCGAGAGCTCCCCCTTCGCTCGTTGCCAGACTCTGAAGCCCTTCGAGAAGCACACATCAACAAGTGCATCCGGGACCACAGCACATATGGCAGTCTCCGTCCTCCCGAGGGACAAGAAACGTCGGCGCCGCCAATATTATCTCGCAGGACCGGCATGTACATATACCCAGCAACAGAGAAGGACTGCATCGACGACGCAGAGTGTACGATATGCTTGGAAGAGTTTACGGTGGGGATCCCCATGGCTCGATTGGAGTGTCTGTGTCGATTTCATAAGTCTTGCATATCTGCCTGGTTTGTTAACCATCCCGGTCGATGTCCGGTTCATCAGCATGATGGATTCGGATTTTAGGCATTGGAAGTACAATGCCCTCCCGATTGGGGTTACATTTTGAAACTGCCACGCACTCCTCTCTTGCTGATTGTGGGGAATGCTTTGGTCATTTCAGTCGTTCACGATTCATTTATAAGGCGGTCAATATGTATTCTGCTCAGTGACTCCTCTCATTTCGGATGCGACACATTGGCGCTGTCGCTGGGTTTGTCAAAGCTGGGCGTTTTGGGAAGGATTCGTATCGGGATTATATGGCTGGCGAAGAGCGAGACTGAGATTTAGAGCACAGATGGTAAGAACTGCATCTCGAGTGTGAATAAATGATATCAATAATAATTTACTTGGTATGAAATCAGACACAGCCAGTCAGTGAACGATACGGCAGCTTTGATGTATTGTGCTAGGGTTATCGGGGTAAGTCGCTTCTCTGACAAAACAAACTCCATGGTATTTAAGTATTCGACCTGACCACCTAGGGTAGGTACTTACCTTAGGTACCTAGACAGGTAGGTACATAAGGTCAATGGCTATGCATCACGCATGCTGCTGGGTGGACATGCGTTCATGTGCCAAGTCCCAGCAACATGGTCAGCCAGGACATCTGATACTAGAAGACTGCATTGTTGCGCATATCAAGGGCTCAAGGACCGGCAGACCAGGTGTCCGTTTCAAGTTTCAAATATCGATTGTGGAGTACAGATCTGAGTACAAGGGTCACACACAAGGGCTGAATGTTGATGCTGCACGACGTCGGTGGCCGTGGTGGCGGGTGGAAGGCGTGATGATGATCGGCCAGGGTCTCCATTTTGAGCAGAGAACCCGACACTGTAGGGTCAAGCATACATTCGACTAGTAAATAGTACAGAGCAGGGAGTGCGGAGTTATTATTGCAGATCTCAAATAATAACTACCAAACACGTGCGTGCTCTTAAGCTTCATTGACTGGTTCAATGTTCAGCCCCCGCTCCATACAGTGTCTGCCTGGGGCATGTGTGGTGTGCTGGCTGACCCCTCCAGCTAGTGAATCGTGTGCAGCAACTTTAGAAGCGCCACTAAGTTACGCCACAAGCCTCAGCCAGCCAATCAGCCGCAGCAGTCCCGCGTGCGCCGCACTAGAGACGGGGAAGCCAGGCAGGCTAGGGAAGGCTGTGGCCGATGGACCATTCCGTCAATTTTCAGCAGGGCCGGGGCCGTCCAAGACGAGGTTCCAAGGATCTGCCAGCAGCTGGACCAGGCTACTTAAGTACGTACTAGCTGGGTCAACTGGTGCTTCGTGGGAACCAGGAACATGCTCGAGAACAAATATTACCTGTTGTCTGGTCGCTAGCAGTGGCCGTATGGAGATGAAGTACGGACGGAGTGCCTGGACAGACAGGCGCCTGTGTGGAATGGCAAGCATCAAGCAAGATATTCATCTTGTTTTATTTATTTATAATTTTTCAACCTTTTCAAAACCCGCAGCGTTGACTAGCTCCGATGTCCTGAAGGAGATTGCTGCTGGGGCAGTTTGACGGAATAGCGGCTTGGCCGATGATTAAGCTTGATACGGCCGCCGATTGCCCATGGAGGAGCCCTGGAAGCTGGGCATATGCTGGGCCTGCTGGATCATGATCAGCGCCAGCACACGAGACATGCCAGCGAAGTGTTGAAACATTTTGTATCGAGTACGAGCACTCCGTACGAGTACGTAGAACCAATGTCAACTTGCCTTAATACTGGAAACAGCTGACCTTTGACACTTTTCGGCTACGCAGGGCACCCAACTCAAGGGCTTCAAGTTGAAGGACTGCGGAACTACTCCGTCGCTCCTCCCAAATCCGATCAGCCGGGGAGCCACTCGTCGAACTTCGATCCACTCTGCAGCTCTCCCACAGGCCACGGCCCACGCAATCTTGGAAGTGATCCATCAGGTTCGTCTTCTCTCTTCACACGCCAGACTGGCCAATTGGTCCAACTGCATTTCGCTCACCACCCCCCTTCTGTGATTCTATCTGCGGCTTGTTCCTCTCGGCGTCGTCTGGTCCCCAAAGGCAAAAGCCCCCATGGCTCAGTTCTTCTAAATCCACCCCCCATCCCCAACTCGTCATTCTACATTCTACATGCAGTGTTGTAGGTTCAGGTTTCCCGCGCGCCGCCTGCATCGCTCAAGCAGCATCTAATTTGCTACGTAGTACGGACTTCGAACCAAGTAGCTGATAGCTGGCCCCGGCAGACCACTTGAGACTTTGCAGAATCTAGCTTTGTTGTCCGGATTCTTGTTCAATCAGACTCCTCATCCTTCACAGCCCAGTTTCCACTGGCACGCCCTCTTTCTTGGTCTTTTTTTCCCC